CTGCTTGTGTGTAATGGAGAGCCAAAGGTGGATAGATGCCAACGTATGTAAAAGAAATTGATACCTATTGCTCGGAGGTTTCATGCCTAGGCCTAGGTCGAGGAGAAGATAGACTAAACCGACAGAGGTGGAAAGGACGAAAGGCGGCTTGGGGTCTGCGGCGGCGAAAAGGATATTTTTGGGGCTTTTTACTGTGGTGACTCGAACACTGGCACACTATCGAAATCCGCGTCATCAGCAAAAATCCGTATGTACATTTATTTTCCTTACCTCTACGTTTTTGTTTACGTGTTCGTTCCCTTTTCCTTACACGTCCATTAGAGCTTATTATACACACACACACACACACACACACACATATAAAGAATCATTTCTATTGCAAACACCCATCGGGCTTCTACTTGGGTGGACGTTCTAATGGAAATACATTAGATCGACTCAAATGAAAACCTGCTCTGTCGGTCGCCGGACCAAGAGTAAACATCTTAGTCTAACATCATCACAGTAAATAAAGGAGTTTGTTATTTTTTTTGGGGGAGGGAGGTGGGGTAAGTAGAAAATTCGTGAAACAATCCAAGGGTTTTTTTTATACTGGGTAAACCGCTATACCATTAATGTTCGGCAACTCGTCCCTAGCGTTGCTAATGACGCATGAAGTTTGTATACGGACCCTATTTCGTGTTTCCTTATTTGGTCTACATAAAATATTATTATTTCGCTCGAAACCGGAACCGGTATCTGTACTGGTACAGTAGCTGCAGCGTCTTAATTTTCTACCAAACAAAGTAAAGTATTTCTGGAAATACGACGTAGGCTGACTGACTACGATAATGTCTAATAATAATTAATCTTTTTTTTTTTACTCATTAGCCTATATATATGCGATGAGTTGTAGGTAGTGTAGTATTACAATGATAAGTATATCCATGCAGATATTTCTGTTTCCATTGTAAGTTTTTATCCATAAAGAAGATAATTTATATTGTTGATACTTTGGCGAGTAAAAATTTAGAAAATAATATGCCTATTTTCAAACAGCAAAAAAATATGTTGGCATTAAGAAAAAGATACAAGACATACTATTTTTTCGAATAGTATTTTTCTTAATACATGTTTAGGTTTTGGATAACTCTAAAAAAAAAAGATGTTAAAACTTGAATAACGATTGACAAAATAAACTTTTCGAGAGGGCACAGCTTAAGTTCACGTATTTTTAAAAAAACTAAGGAAATATTTTTTAACTAAAGTTTTGAAATGTGTCAGTCTGCGAAATCATTATTAATGAAGGCTGTGATAATTTGATAAAAAAATCAACTATAAAAAAAGTGTCTTCAATGCATGTATTATAATTTTAGCTTTAAATTAACTCTTTGAAAACAAAAAATGGCTATAAACTTATCATCTTAAAAAAGAGAGTAATGTTTTATATAAATATATAAATGATATTTGGTATTATTGATATTTGAGTGAGACACTCCCCTCTTCCCAACAAATTATTCAATCATTATGATGTAACTTAACAGTACTTGAGGGCCCAGCGCTACCATCATAACGTAAGATAATTTCAATATGATGTACATTTTACATCAAACAAATGGTTATCACAAAAAAACCGTTTCCGGCCGTGGCACAGTATAAACCATTGCAAGAAAATTCATTATGGGTAAATAATTAAAAGTCGATTCAATCGTTATTCATTCGAGTGGATATTTGTTTTGGGTTTTTGATTTTCATTTTAACGCGCCGGATGTAAGTAGTAAAACGGAAAAGCGAAGAGCCGAAATTCTCGTTTCGTTGGGTCGTGATATTTCCACGTGTTATTTTACTGCCCCTTCGACCTTCCTCCTTAGCCTCGTCCGTCTAACCCATATGCCAAGTATCCATGAGTATAGCCGGTGGATTTATAGTCTTGGCCATTGTCTCGACACGGCGGCCGCTGTTCTGACAAAGATACCGTTCTTATAAAATCCTCTCGGTTTATAACATTATTTTCGACTTGTTTTCCTCTTTATCGTCCCTATTATGGATCCAGGTCGAAATGGAGCGAAAACCGTCTTTTTAACGCCGTTTTAAACTCTTCGAAATTAATGGCTGTACTTAACACGATTAGGTAAGTAAGACAAAAAAAAAAAAACAGAAGAAACTTTTCATCCGCACAGTTTCGGTTGCATTGATAGTCGAAACCCTAAATAACGTTGTTATGGTGTTAAGTATGTACTTAACGGGAATAAAAAACGATTTCTCAACAGCTTCCAAGCAAGTTGTAATTTTTAAGTTCAAACGCTTTATATCCCGCCAATTTTTTAAAATGGTTTTACAAGTACTGTTGTAACACATTACTGTTGCCGTTTACGTACTTATCCTTCTCTAAACAAACGAACAAAAATGAATTTATCTATTACATAATCTTATCTTATCCCTAATAAAAGAATACAGTAGTTAATAAAACACCCCCGCAGTATTTATTTACCGGTTAAAGCTTTTAACACATATTTTTTAGTTGGCTTTTATTTATTTAACAACTAACAAGTAAAACACATTGAATTCGTTTACAATTTTTGTATATTAGCCGTACAAATAACATAGTAAAATATCATGAGCGATACCCAACTTATCCTAAAGAAAGTTGTTTGGTATTGCTTTATCCAATTTTTATTTTATAGGTATTTGTGAAATATTTCCATTCTATCTAGTTCTATAAAGTTAAGTAGTTATAGTTCATCTGCCATATTTATGTACAAAACGTATGGTTAACTGTGAAATCTTCGTGACCCACACTGTTGAGTATCTGAAAAAAAAAATACAATCTAATACTTTTAGCCTCAAAAACTCTTATTGTGAAACTTATATAGCTTATACACTTGATTATTCTTATAGGGAAAATTAATATCCTCTCTTAGTAGTACTTCTAAAAAGTATTACTTTTAATAATAATCTTATTTTTAATACTTATTTCTTACCTTGTCTTTACTTAATAATTTTTCTTGTACAATAGAACAATGTGCATTTTTATATTTTTAAGTTTTATACCTACTTACTTTCAGACTAACTCTTATATTATATAGCACAGATACATCTTTATTGTTCTACACAATGACCAAAGAAAGTATTTTCTAAGCTTTGAAAAAGCTACATCATCGATAAATCACGGATAAATCAAATATTAATACTTGTTCCTTCCCCTAATACTTAGGTGAACATAAAAATGAAATTATATACAATAACAATAAGGCACATTGCAAAGCATCATTTTGTGTTTTTGTTAAGCTTTATATTATGCAAGTATGAATTTCCTAGATTATTGGACAGTCTTTCAATAGTTGTTAGTAATTAAAGTTAGCTGAATACTATTTCGGTCTAATTTTAATAGGGCCAATCCATGGTCTTATAGATTCTACCTTCGTTTACACCACACTGATGTACTATAAACAAGAGAAAATGATTGCACTCTGGTATACATATTCATGGATCATTTCGAATAGGCATTTTGCGCAGTGCATTAGATTCAGAAAGGGAGTCGTGAAAATAGGGAAATTAGATGAACAAGGAAACAACAAAATAATAATAAACAGCATGATATTAAGTCATTGTGTGTGCATATTATGCTAATTAACGCGTAAACATTGTATATTCATAATACAATATTGTACACTGACCTTTTAGTAGGTAAACACCCTTAGGTAGATATTATATTATAGGGCCTTTGTTGAGGCAGTAAAGGTGACAACTGTAAACGTTATGGGGATAAACGTGTTTTCGTTCATATAACAAACGAATAACAAGTACAAATAATTTTATAATTTTATTGTTTCAATGCGCAAAATATATTTCCTAGGCAACTGGTGATAATAGATGCAGTGATAGTAATAAGATGGCGAATGTTAAAATAAAGTTATTATGGAGACGATGAAGCCCGCAAGCCATTATATTGTTGTCATCTAAATGGTTTTAACAAATGTTCAAGTTACCGAAACAATAGGATTTCCAAAGCCTAGTGCCTATAGCTTTTGTTTGTCAGCGACAAAAACCCACTGCGCTTGTAACTAAAAAGCGTATCACTGCCATTACAGCTTTACTCTTTTAATATAATATGTTAACTTTCCGTTTTCTACTTTAATACCGGATTTTTATGTAATAATTAATTTTTTGTACAGTAAAATTTAATTTTTTCTTTTTGAAACAATAAAATATCAACAAGTATGAAGTATTTAAATTTTATGCGAATTTTTTTGCTGAATTCTGAACTAAAATGTTCCCTAATATTTCAATTGGTTTTTTCATACGCCTCCAAAGTAATAGGCAATTTTCAATAAAAAAAAACGGAGTTTCTAATTTTCTTTTTTGCACAAAACAAAATTAAGATTTCTACATTAAGTCAAACACCATTTCAGAATTAAACAAAAAAATAAAAACTCTGTTTGAAATAAAACAGAGGAACGTAAAACGTAGAAATAAAACTATTCACACAAATTCAATCTTTGCACCACTAAGTTTTATACGCTGTGTTTTGTGGAACTGTCTTTATTAGATCATATCAGAATAAGAATTGATTACACTTTGCAATGTAATTTTTTATTTTAGAAATTAACTCGTTGTCAATAAATGATCGGCAAAAGTAACTTCTAGCTATTTAAATCGTTAGTATAAATAAAGCGTAATGATATTAACAATTGCAGTATGCTATTTAAATATTATTAAACGTAATACAATTTTAACCGTAGCCTTACCGTTTAGTTTGTATAAGAACATTAATTGTGTTTTTTTATAACATAGAGCACTTCGTCGAGAATATGTGTATAACTAGTTTAGACTACAAGAAAAATTGTGTTTTCCTACTTACATTTTTATTTTTCGATTGAAAACTTACTTTTATGATATCTTATTAATACTTACTCAGTAAAATGGCAAATTAGTGTGATACATTTGCAACCTGATTACTGAACAACGTGTTAATTAAAAAACAAAATAATTTGAACATGGTACAACATGTTTATTTACAGAGATGTGGCTGAAACTATTGTTTGGATTGCTCGTTGTCCGGTCGATGGTTTCAGCAAATCCGGATGCCAAAAGACTGTACGATGACCTTTTGTCCAGCTACAATAAACTTGTCAGACCAGTAGTGAACACCAGCGACGTTCTTCGGGTTTCCATTAAGCTGAAGCTGTCGCAGCTTATCGATGTGGTAAGTTTTTATTTAAAATACAATACAAATGGCTAGAGTAGTCTAGGATTCTTTTAGTCATTATAATAATAACTGTAAGAAAAAAAAGCTCAATTATAAAACTAATTCAACAAGTTATTACTTTTGTCGAATATAATTCGTAGAGTTCATAGCTCAAACTGATTATTTGAAATTCAACTCATATCAATCCAATTTAAGAGTGTGACTAAATTAACGCCATTATAGTTATAATTTATGCGTTTCCCATGTTGTATAATTCCAGAAGACCAATCAAATATGATCTTTATTTTAATAGCGAGATGTATGCTTTGTGAATTTGACCGAACTGTATTGATTTTTATGGATTAATTGGAGAAATTGTGGCAAATGAATAGCAAAAAAAAATATAGTTAATTGACATCAAAAGAGACATCAGGGTTAATGTGTGATAGAAAAGTGAAATAAACACTTATTTGACTGAAAGATAATCGTCATTATTTGTAGTAATCATCAGACTGTTTGTAATAGTATAAAAAGCAAAAAAAAAACAAAAGTTCTTATTAGTTGTATAATCGCAATTAGTGCGACTAAATTTAGTTTAAACATTTCTAATGACGTCAGACAATCACGAGTGATTGTGTTGTTCGCATTGCAATCATTTGGACAGGTCATGTGTTACAACTGATAAATTTCGACGGTAATTATTATAATAATAATATTGTTGTAAGCACCTTTTCTGTCTTTGTCTCGGTAATAAGCGAACCAACGCCGCTGACGTTTTGACTAAGTTTGCGACAGGTGACTTTAATCCGGTATTTTATCCAACTGGCGATGGTAGCGTTATTGTATTAAACAAAGTTGATGGTAAATGTGCGGAACCGGCGCGGCCGCGGCGGTGACGTTAACAAGCTGCCGAAGTCATTTTGATGACAATAACTAGGGCGAATAAAATCGAAAAAGGGTTTAAAAACGCCGTCGTCACAAAAAGTCATAGTTTTGAACTCTGAATAAAAAAAGCATATTATATTTTTTTTATATCAACACAACTGCAAAAAAAAAATTGTGTCTCAGTTTTACACTCGAGCTAAAACCATTTGCGTTTGACATTTCCCAGAAAGATGCTGGTTAACAATTTATATATATATATATATATCAACAAACTTATATAATGATTTTTTGTGAAAAGTTTAGCATTTTTTCATTAAAATGATTTTCAAATAAAAAACGTATTTACTTCGTGTCACCTGTATAGTTATACTATTATATAGTCATATTATCATGATGTTTTGAACTCGTTTCACCCCAAGGTACACTTCCACTCCAGTGATTTTAATAACAATAAGAACCGACTATTTCTGGAATGAAACATCCAAAATGGCAAACAGTAAACATTGCGTTCTGAGAAACGAGTTTCGTTCACTTTTTTCCTATTGTTTACTTTAAGAAGAACACATAAATTCAAAGGCCGACGCGACGTGTCGTGTTTTGATTGGAGTCTTTCTAGGCAAACCGTATTGCATTTTCAAATAAACGCTCAGCATTGTTGTTTATCATAAAATGTGTTTCTCGGGTTGTTTCCTAATTCGGTATGTGTACTCGATATCACTTTTCTCACTTATAAAGATGGATGATAAGGATATCGGTAAATATAAGATGACAAGGAATGACATTTTTAAAATTCTTTTAGACTGCGATAAGTGTTTGGCGTCGACTCTAAGTAAAAACTTAAATTATTCAAATTCGGAAGAGGAAATTTCGTATTGGACTTTAATATTGTGTTTAGCTTGCAGCTGTAAACTTTCACTGTAGCCTAATACTTGATAGCTGTTCAAAATATTTTATAACTATTTAAATGAATACACCGCAACTGTAACAACGCAGCATTACGAGGGAATTGGTTCTCCATGCCTTGGATAAAATATAATAATATGTATATAATATAAAATCGATACTATTATGTTTAGTTAGAAAACACGTCACATAAAAGAGCGTGGTGCATAGACTAATTTGATCTCGGTGAAAAACGAGTGAAAAAATAGGAAAAAGTAGACACCCTATTTTTTTTATGTTATCGGAAGGGGAACGCGTTGAAGAGCAAAGAAGGTCTTTATTTTATTTTGCGCGACTATTTTTTAGATGGAGTGTAACGATTTTTTAAGCTCGTAAAACGCACCGTCCCACATATTTTATGGTATAAAAAAACGAAAATCTCTTTTAATATTATCCGAGACGGGATAAATCGTATGGAAATCGAAAAATTCAAACGTCTTCCGCTGTTAGCTCAATCACCGGTTATTGTTACATGCATATTATAATATCACGCTTACACCGAACCTAACGCAGTGGCGTAGTGGTCGTTTTTTAATTTAAAAAAATTATTATAAGTTTCGTTCGTTGTAAAAGTGACTTATTTCCTTGTAATTGAATTTTGAAGCAACGAGCTTTTTGTACATTACGTGTAGGAAAACCAAAATGAGTATTCATTCTGTGTTTTCTATTTTTTTATTTATTTTTGCGTGTGTTGGAGTAGCTTCTCTTTTATGATGAATGAAATTACTAAATGTGACTCCATTAAGTAAAATTATGTATATTTAAAAAATTTGGATTTACAACACTTTTACAATTACGACCCATATAATATTACGGGTTTTCCCTATTTAAACTCGTGCAATTGATGATTAAATGGCGCGACCGAGGTGTAGGTACTGTTATTTAACACAGAACATAAAAATAGGTGTTTTTTTTCTCTGACACAACTTTAGAACTTGTGCGAGCTTTTATTCGCAAATTCTATAAGAGTTATTACCCCTTAAGTCGCCCAAGCTCAGGTCGCGTCACTGGATTTTTACCTATTTTTTTTTATACAATAACTTTACTCGGCGAGTGACACAATGTACATTTTTAACGCTGTCCCGCAAGTTTGTTCCGTGTCGCTTTTAAACGTCTTTTTACGACTTTCCGGGACATTGATTATTTTATAAGACCGGCGTTTTTTCTGTTTTTGGTCCTAAACATCCACCGATAAATAGTCGCGGTGCCCACGGGAGGCTCACTCGTAAGGACCGCTATAAATACGGTTGTTTTTTTTGTTGTTTCGGTTTAAAGAACGTTTTGGATGTTAGGACACAGTGTAGTTTTATGCATACGATTCTTAAATCCTCGGTAAAGAACGACATTTCGCTAAACCGCCCTAGTACAATATTAAAATCATCTGTGCCAGTACTATACACTATAGTATTTAAGCTGCAGTGGACAATTTAGCAGCACGCTTTGTGTATATGTTATTTGCAATTTTATTTATATAATATAGGTATGCAAAAACGAACAAACAGAATATTATGTTATAATATAACATATAAAATGTGTTATATGTTGTTCTTCGATAAATAAATTTTACCTGAATCGATGGTCTTTCCTCCTACAGTGAAAGCATTTTTACAATATTTATTTGATTGAGTTTAAAAGTAGGTTTAATATAGGTATATTTTGATTAAAATAAAAAAAAAGTATGTTGAATGCGTCACGTCCTGTTGATACATTTAGACATGGTTCCTTTCAAAGTGTAGTCTTAATTATATTATTTTTGTATTATATCTTAGACAAATTGAACAAAATAGTAAAAACTGTGTTAATAAACAAATTAACAACGCTGGGGTCTTCTCAGTGCTACCCGTCGTGTATCGATTCCCCCAAGACTAGTTTTTAAGCTTAAAAATAATATAAAAAAACTATTCAAATATTTAACGCTTTAGTATCGATTAATTATCGAATTTTTGTACTCAATTTTGTGTAATTTATAATTGGCACTAAATTTATTTAATCTTTACCTTCATTTTAGTTCTTAGTTAATAAAAAACATGTAGGTAAAGACAATTGTTTTGCCAACGTTTTTATTGTAGATTTGAATTTTAATCTGTGATATTTTATTTTGGTCACCAAAAAATATGTGATACCGTTTGCATTGAGAGTATATATTTGTTTTTTAATAACGACAACATAGTGCAATTGAATTGGCGAATCCTTTTTAAAAGTGCTGTAGCATATTATAATTTATGGGGCAATAAAACGTCGCATAAGCTAAATAGTTTAATACGTCGAAATTCCAGACTTCAGATGTTAAAAAAAAAACAATAATAATAATAACCACTTAGTTTTGAATAATTATTTTAACACAATCATCATGTATATCAATGGATCTGTAAATCAAAGCTCGTTAACGAATAATTCACAGTTTATTACTAGGAAAACAAGAATAATTGTTTATGTCATATAAAATCTGTATACAGGTGGCCCACAATAATTTGACAAATTAAATAACATTTTTAAGATTTTTTTTTTTCTTAATAATCTATACTTATTTGCGCTATAAGCACTACGATTTTTATCGCACTTAACTATTTTACTTTTTTAAATTATTTAAAAAAAAAAAATTCAAGATAGCCATTTTGTTAAGAATAATTTGCTGAAAATTTTTACTGGTCGATAACCAGATTTGGATAATTACTTTTTAAGTTACTAAAGGTAGGATGGGAGGTGGAGTGCGGTAGAGAAATGCGCACAGATAAAAATAGCTCTACGCGCTTACTCTACCACACTCCACCTCCCATCCCACCCTTAATTAAAAAAGTAAAATAGTTAAGTGCAATAAAAAACGTAGTGCTTATAGCTCAAATGTGTATACATTATTTAAAAAAAAAATCTTAAAAATATTCACTAGAACAAAAGTTACTTAATTTGTCAAATCATTGTGGACCACCCTGTACATAGCCGTTTGTTGGTTTATTTTTTTATTAAACGGCAATCCCCCTTCGAAAGGAATGTTATACTATTATAACGTATTCTATTAATTAGTCACGACACAATTTGATGTTTAACCAAACGTCACCGGAAATAACGACAAAGGGTCGTTCTGTGACAAAAGGATTATCGTGTCGATGATTGGTTTTCTAAGCCGAAGTTTAACGGCATCGTTGTAAAATAAAAAATAACCAATAAATACAATCTACATATAAATGGGGGTG